CCTTCCTTCCTTCCTTCCTTCCTTCGTTCTTTCCTCCCTTCCTTCCCTCCCTCCTTTATTCCCCCTCCTTTGTTCTCTTTGTCTGGGTATGCACAGGGCTTTAGTTTTCAAGACAAGCTCGGCCCAAGTATATATTCCAGATTTCCTAAAATGTCCAACTTTTCTGGCTGTCACAAAATATTAAAATAAGCCATTTGGCATGCCCGGCCGGTACTATCAAGCCCCTTTTTAGCTGAGGCAGATCTAAATAGGTTAGTGTGAGGTCACTGGAGGCCATAAATCAGAGGGGTGGACCTGTGGCTGAGCCGGCCTGCATAGCTTTAGTTCAATGTGCTATTTTGGTTTGTGCCCCCGAAATGACACCATCTTGTTGGCACCAGCCGAAGAAAGCTTCCTAGACATCTGTGGGAAGAAAATGTACAGTAACCCAAGGCCGAGGTCGCACGGGCATGAATCACTGTGGGGAGGGCTGTGTCTGCTCCCAGCCCTGAGAGAGACCAAGGCAAATGATTTCCATCCAAACTGTTTATCCAGGAATCCAGGCTGGAAACGGATCCAAACAGTCTTGGCAAACGGTAAAAGCAGAGAGTAACCAATTCTTCTCACTCTGTCAAACCAGGACAGCCGCTTCCTGCCGGCTTTCCAATTCCGTGGGGGTCCACTTGAGAACCCCAGATATTTTTGAGAAAGATTAAATACAGTTAAATGACAGTTATTGTATGTTTTTATATGATCTGAAATATAGAATAATCATAGAACACCCCCAACACTTTCTTATGTTTATGTTCTACTTCCTTTGCTTTTTTTCTGTGAGTTTCTAACCCAACCAGTCTGAGCTTCTTGCATTTATTGCTTTTCTATATAACCTTAGTTTAAACTCTTTCCCCTTTCCTTCCTCCCTTCATCCTTCTTTCCTTCCTATGTTCCTTCCTTCTTCCCTCCTCCCTCCTGTCATGTTTTAATTTTAGAAGGGGTAAATGCATTTCACAATATAATCTCAGAATATACTAGATTATGGGCTGGAGAGATGGCTCAGCGGTTAAGAGCACTAACTGCTCTTCCAGAGGACCCGGGTTCAATTCCCAGCACCCACATGGCAGCTCACAACTGTCTGAAAATGAAGTTCCACGAGACCTGACACCTTCACACCAATGAACATAAAGTTAAATAAATCAAAAAAAATATATACTAGATTACAACACACCGTGTAGTTTTTACCTGTTCATCTTAGTTTTAGAACTAGTCTACATAAAGAGGCAATTCTCAGGCTGGCATCCTAACTATAATTCTTGGTTGCTACATTTAGGGATCCCCTTGCTCTGAGGGGAGGTTCCTGTTAGAAGGGAAAGCATCCATACTGACTTTCATGGGAGAAAGGTGAGAAATTTTGTCCAAAAGTGAGTGAATTTGTTACAGACATCTGCTGGCCTTTTGAGTGCTTACAGAAGCCAGTGCATCTCCACCTAGAGGCCTTCTTTGAGGAGACTGAAGCAAGTTCCTCCGGGACAGGAGAGGTCCACCCCGCTACCCCGCTACCATGTACTCTACCAGCTCCGGGAACAGAAGGAACTGCTGAAGCTTCTGCAGCTGGGTGTGGCCTTAAAGTGAGCTCCTAGGAGCTATGTGAACAGGAGAGCGGGAGTGAGCGATACTTTGCACGCACACTGTGAACTCGTGGCGTTTTACTGTTCTAATAAGCGCACTGGCTTGCAGCCACCGAGCAGTTCTGAAAACGGAAGCAGCCAAAGCTGGAGCTTCTAAAAAAGGAGGCGACAGCTGCTAAGGTGTAATTTTCAGGCTAACAGGCCGGCTGACCACCACCTGAGAACTGATTCTTCCCACACATAATTGATTGCGGTTCTCTTTGCCCCAGCTGAGCAGGGCCTTCTTCAGCAAGGGTTGCCAACGTCATAGCTGTCACAGTTATCATTACCAAGATAATCCATACAGGAATGTCCACCAATGTTCACCAGCCGGCTGTCAAGACCGCCTGGCAATATCACAGATAAGTGCCCTTTAATTTGATAAGCACGAAACAATAAAAGGGAAACAGCCACTAGTGCCAACTACTGGCTTTTCAATACCTTAATAATCAAATACCCACTTTCCCAAGAAAGATCACATCTGTAGTTGCTGCCTTCTAATGACACAATACTGCTGTGGTTGTCTAGAAAGCACAGTTAAGATTGTGGGGGGGGGGAGGGAGAGAGAGGGAGATAGAGACAAAGAGAAATAGAGTTGTGGAAAAATGTTGGGTGTTATGTGTGGGTGAGTAGTCTCTCTCTCGTTCTGCTTCTTGTAGAATAACAACAAAGTGGCACACACTGCTTCTTAGTTCTGTGAACCTTAACATTTTCTCTAACCACAGAGAACAAACAGGGTCTCAGAGAGTTGGTGAACAAACACCTTGTAAAAAAAAAACTACTTGCTTTTTTTCCTTTCCAGATCTTTCTGCATCTGCACAAAACCTGTAGACCTGTATTTCTCTAGGGGGACAATGTTTCCTTAAAAAAAAGAAAAAAAAAAAAAAGAAAACAACAACATCAACAAAACCCGAGTCAGCTGTTGCCCTGACAACAAGCATCCTGAGTGGTTCCCTTCTGTGTGTTGGAAGGGACTCACCGTGTGGGGAGTGTTCTTCTTTCCAGGGTAGGTTAGGAAAAACAAAGCCCAGGGAGACCAGGGCTGGTCATTCATTTCAGGTAAAAGTGCCTAGATTGAGAGGTTAGGTGGAAATCTGAGGCTTTTAGACATGAGGTCTCAGACAAGACAGCCCAAGTAGGGGATGAAGAAGAGAGAAGGGAAAATATGAGCAGAGTAAAATTATACATACATACATGTATGTATATATGTGTAAAATTGTATATATATGTATATATACATATATGTGTGAAATGAAAGCCATTATTTTGAATCCTAACTAAAATACTTTATTAGCTGGAATAAAAATGAGGTCACAGAGAATTATAACTTGTGTTTTTGATATAAAATGAGACTCAAAGAGGATAAATGACCTGTCCATGTTCCCACACCTATATACAACAGGTAACAAACAAATCCCCATGCCTTTACATGAGTATGTACTTGTAAACACAATAGCAAGTACATGTTTGCTTACTGAGTACTAGTCTAAGTACTTCTCTGTAGTAGTATTTAATCTGCACACAGTTCTAGGAGGTCTGTGCTCCATTTCCCAAGTGGGCAAACTAGGAAACAAAGGGGTTAAGCAATCTGTGTGAGGTCACAAATCAGATGAATGGACAAAACCCAGGCAGTGCCTGCACAGCATTCTTTACAGTGAGACACAACCTGGGCCAGCTACCACATGAACTAGCGGTGAGCCGCGACTCTGAAAAATCAGTGAACACATATGGACTGGTGTTCTCGAAGGGTTCCCTCTAGTCTCTGTGGAGTAAGTTAAACATAACCCACTGAAGAACAAGACAAATAGTTATGACACCACGAGAAAGCTGATCTGTGTGACCAAGTAGATGCTACAGCCTCATGTTGCCATCAGGGAGACAGAAGTTGTATTGCACAGGTGGTGCAAGGCAGAACAAGAATCAAGTCTAAACCTGGTGCGACACCCAGTCAATGAGGTTAAAATAATGACAATGGGGGAATCAATGGTTAAGAGCACTGGTTAGTCTTCTAGGAGACTTGGATTTGATTCCCAGCACCCCATGACGGCTTACAACTGTCTGTAACTCCAGTTCCAGAAGACTCCTACCCCTCTTCTGGCTTCCACAGACATCAGACACACGGTGTACAGACATATATGCAGGCTAAAGTCCACCCACGTAAAACACTAACTTGAGCATTTTAAATGACCTCAACAGCCGTGAGTGCACCAGAGAAAGAGCTGCAGGTTCTTGCAGCTCTGCCCCCTGAAGGTCTTGCTAACCAACCTTCCTTCCAGGACGGGGCCATGCGTGACGTAAGGGCTGTGCACTCGCCTGTAGAGGGTGCTCCTCAGCACCACAGCTGGATACAAAAAGAGAGAAAAAAAAAAAAAACCCTCTGGATAGGAAAATGTGGAACCGGGCATTTTAGAATGCCATCCCTGGAGGGGGCAGTGGCTGCAAAACTGCACGATTATCCATTCCAGGTGAGTCTTTCTGGTTGTAACTGTTAACCTGGTGTTTAAGTAGGTAACCACCAAGCAGAGAAGGCGAAGAACAGAGCCCAAGGCCACACCTGTAAGCACCTGCAGCTCTCAGTGCTGCAAAGGGATGGAGAGCTGGGTAACAAACAAGTGCCACAAAAGGAAGGAGGGAAGGTGTGAGGTGGAGAGGGCAGAAGCCCTCCTGCTCCATTCATTCAGTTCCTACCCCAGCCTGGCATGCACAACACACTGTGGCCGGCCTCCCTGATGTCACACACAAAAACACAGATGAGGGACAAAGTAAAAACTTAGTTCTATTTTCTGGCCCAAGGCAAATCCTTATTTAGTTGTAATCCTAGGGACTGGAGAGATGACCCAGCAGTGAAGAGCACTGTCTGTTCTTCCAGAGGACCTGGGTTCAATCCCCGTCACCCATATGGCACCTCACAACTGTAAGTCCAGTTCTAGGGGATTTAACACTCTCACACAGACATTCCTGCAGGCAAAACACCAATGCAAATAAAGCAGATAAATATTTAGTGCAGTCCTTTAAAACTAAAACCTTTGGAGAGTCACTCAGCAGCAACGCCCCTTCCCTGCCTTGTGCCCTTCCTGAGTCTGTCACCCAGACTACTTCACCGGCACCATTTCAAAGCACGCCAGAGTTTTCCCACACTGTCAAATCAAAGCAGAGCAACCTGGCTCCTGCTAGAGAAATGTTTACCTTCACCAAAAACGTCATCCTCTTCATCCACCAGAAGCTCCTTGGGGTCAAGGAACTGCATTGTGGGAGGACAGGGAGCTAGAGGCACTCAAAACCTTGGACACACCGGCAGCAGCCACTGTAGCTCTGAGCAGCCACACTGCTTGGGAGGCAATTCCTCCCCCGCCCCCCTGTGGGTTGCCCAAGCGCTGGGGCGGGCAGCTTCCGCATCTGCCCCTGAAGAAAGCAGCTTCATTCATAGGAAAAGGCTTCTGAAACCTTTTGCGAAGTGAGTTCCAGGTGAGGTAATTCTCACTACGGAGAAGAAAGACTGGCGTGGAAGGGGGGTGCAGATCCGGTTGGATCCCAGTAGATTATCACTCAGGCCGAGAGCGATGAGTTCTGTTTCAAAGCAGCTGCTTTCATATTTCCAAAGAGGACGGTGGGCTCTTAGCTTTCCTGCTTATGAAGTGCGACACAATGGGAGTGTTGAGAGAGGGGGGCTCACATTTCTCATATCTTGCTCTTGCTTCAATGGCGATTTATCTGCAAGTAAAGCAAGCCTTGTGCTGCCCCAAAGCTGCCTTTGGAGGACACGAGCTTTTGTTTCAGGCAGCAATAGTTGCGGGTTTTTGCTTTTTCTTGCAAACCTCTTGTTTTTGTGGGGAACTTTAGAGTTGTAACCTTAGTTCTAACCTAGGCCGTTACCAGTTCCATTAAACCTACCATTAGTGAGCAGATAACCAGTCTGTGACAACATCCATTGCGTAATATTTACTCAGCTCGATACTTAGGACTTTTATCAGTAAAGGAGGAAAAAAAAAAAAAGACAAAGACTATGTAGTTAAAACAAACAAACAAAAACCCCCCAAACCCCACAAAACCAACAGTCCCTCCCAAAGGGAGGAGTTAAAGCTCAACTTTCACATGACCGTGGGTGGTTTGCATCACCACCTAGAGCTACCCAACAGATTCTGCCTGTGTGTGATACTACACCCTCTTGGGGCTTTCCTAGAATCAGAAGATGCAAATGGAGGTGTTGGCTGAGGAGCTATTGTTGACCCCAAAGTGTTTATTTCTGGAGCCTTATTTACTGTGTGTTTTTGAAGACTTACGGTGTTACCTTTCAAGTTGAGAGTCTGTCCCTTCTGGAACTTCTTTGGAATTATGCTAGTTGTTCCCCAAGGGCAAGCTTGGTAGTAGGACTTTGCAAGTCATCCAGTTAACCCAGGGGTCAAGAATCATCGAGGATGGGACAGCAGCACTGTAGAGATTCTATCTATGAACCGGTGCCTATAGGGGTTCCCCAAAGATAGGGGACGGTCTGAGTTCTGCCAGGATTACCAGTTACCTCAACCATTGCGGGAACTTCCTGTCAGAGAGAACTTGGAAATGCTCTAGGCGCTCGGGGTTGTGCAAGGACTAAGGATGATTTATGGTACATGCTGTCCTGCCTCTCAGGGCGGGAAGCTTTCTGCAATGGGTAGGACAGTGGCAGGAGGAACTGTCCTGTCCCCAAAGCCAATAGTGTTCCCTTGAAAAATCGCAATAGGCAGGCAGCAGGGCTCTCCCTTGCCCTAGATCTCCTTTGCTTCTGGCCACTCACCTCCTTACCCCAATTCCCATGGGAATAATATTTCCAATGAGCTAGCAACAGAAATTGAATGAACTAAAATAGGTCCAAATGTAGAAATCTGATTATGGATTAGAATTTCATCTTGTGCAATTAAGACAAGAGAGAGGATGTATATTGATTCTGATCACATATTCCTCTGCCATTGTCCTGTGTTCTTTGATTTTCAGAGCCTTATGAGGCATGGACCACTAACCACCAGACACAGAGAGCTGTGAAGACTCTGAGGTCCTGCGTAGACAAGTAACAGACTCCAGAGTTCATCCCATTGTCTCTTGAGTATACAGCTTTATGACATTCTCCTGGGTTTGAAGAAATTTGACTATTTTCCACATCACAATCACTAAGTTAACACATTGCTATGGACATTCTTAACTTGATAGGATTTAGAATGACTTAGAAGACACGCTTCTGGGCCTGTCGGTGAGGGCATTTCCAGAGAAGCTTAACTGTGGAGAGAAGTCTGGCCCTTAAAGTGGGAAGTACCATCCAACGGGCTGGGGTCTGGGGCTGAAGAAAATGGAGAAAGTGAGTAGGTGTGGCAGCACTCATCTCTCGGCTTCCTAATTCCAGACACAATGGACCAGCTGCCTCTTCTTTCCATCACCATGTCTTCCAGCCATGATGGACTTGAACCTAAAACCCTTTGCCAAAATACCTTCTTTCCTTCAGATGTGTTTTGTCAGGTGTTTGGTCACTGTCACTAACTAGTCAATATAAGCTTTCTAGGTCTATTTCCCTACCACTCAGTAAGTGAAAGTGTGTTCTTCCAAAACCAGGTATTAGAGTCCTCATGTGACCTTATTTGGGAGTAGGGCTTGTTAAGAATCTAACCGGTGAAGAGGAGGCCATTGTTGCAATGGATTGGGGTCCTTAATCCACTACGAATAGACTCTTAGCAAATAAGGAGATTTAGAGAAAGACACACATGGAAGAAGTGAAGACTACAGGAAGACAATGGAAGAAATCTACAAAACAACTCCAAAGACTATCAATAAACCACAGACATTAGGGAAGAGGCATGGGTGGGCTTCCTCTCCCATCCTTTAGAAGACACCATCTCTGATGACACCTTGAGCTCAGGCTTCCAGTCTCTAGGACTATGCAGTATTTGAGTATCACCGTTGTAACCCACCTGGTTTGTGGGGTTCTGTTATGACAAGCCTAGCAAACAAATGTGTTTGCTTATTTGACTTGTTTTGAGGATTAAACAGGATATTTCAAACAAATCAGAAACACACACAGGACACAATAAGTTCCTGTTCTAATCATCCAACCTAATCTCCCCCACCAGGCATCTTAGAACACTTCTCTAATCAAAGTCCCAGTGGGGATGCAGAAGGCTCCTTTGCCATGCTGTGGTGGTTTGAATAAGAATGGCCCCCATAAAATCATATGTTTGAATGTTTGTTGGAGGAAGTGTGTCATTGAGGTGGGCTTTGAGGTTTTAAAAACCCATGCCAGGCCCAGTGTCTCTCTCTTCCTGCTGCCTGTGGATCCAGATGTAGAACCTCAGCTACCTCTCCAGCACCACATCTGTCTGCATTCTATCATGTTTCCCACCATGGTAATTAATAATGGACTAAACCATTTGGGTGGAAGTATTGTTTTAGTTATTGACATTTTTATGTTCAAAGAGTCTGAAATGTTTGGGTGGGGCTTCACCCCAGCTCCCTGGCATCCCTTTATCCAAAGAGTCTGGAATGTTTGGTGGGAAGCTTCATCCTAACCCCTGACATCCATTTTGGAATGTTGGGTGGAAAGTTTCATTTCAAGCCCCCTCCTCTGAGAATTGCCTCAGTATAAACTCCACCTCTGAAAAAGCCCACCAAATGGTGAGCCCTCCCCAGAGAGGGTCAAGACCACTCCCATAGGTTATTTAAACCTCCCCCCAGAGAAGGAATATGTGGTCTTTCCAATTCTCCTTTCCCCTCTCCGTGGTTTCATGGTTTTCCTCCCCGGGGGCCTGAAGGGTCACCCAGGGAGTGCTGGCATCTATTAAACCTGGCCTTTTTCTAATTTGGTTTGATTTGGTCTGATTTGGATTATTGTGTCAGCAGAGAGGTTTGTTGGGCCTCAAAAACTTTACATAAACCTCTGAAACTGTAAGCAAGCCCCACTTAAAGTGCCTCCTTTTACAAGAGTTTGTCATGGTCATGGTGTCTCTTCACAGCAATAGAATGCTGTTAAGATGCATGTCCTATATGAAATTTCAGTAACTCTTAACACTGGAATCAGTTAACTTTTCTTGTTGTCATAACAGAATGCCATACCAGACAAAAACACTGACAGAAACATGGTAAGGGAGGAAATTTTTGTTTTGGCTCACAGTTTGAGATGATACAGTCCATCATGGAGGAGGGAAGTCATGATGGTGGGAGCGGCTTATATTTGTGGCAGAAGATACAATGTGGCTATTTACACTCTATCAGCAGTAAGAAAGCAGAAGGAGAAGCTGGTGTATACCCCACAATGTTGCCTCAGTGACCCATTTCTTCCAGTGAAGATCTACTCCCTAAAGGTCTCACAACCCCAAAAATCATATCCCAGCTGGAGAATAAGTATGAAGCATGTGAACCCGTGGGGTTAGTTCACATCCCAAACCAGTATCTTTCCTCCACTCTCCTCTGCTTCAATTGAGATGTCTTAAACACAGCTACCAAGCTCAGGACAGTTGCTGTGACAACTCTCTTGAATGCAGAGATATAGAAAACATGGCCTTTGCTCTCCAGATTTCATAATCACCCGAGAGAAGCTGTGTATGTTTTGATGGCTTGCTAAGGGGGGAAAGTTAATGAACTCCAGATGAATGCTTTTATATGTATGAATTTCACAGAATATCATATAAACTAAAAAAACACATAAAAACATAAACAGTATGATTAAATTTATAGAAATGTCCCCAAGTGGGCAAAATGGAAAAAGTATATGTGTAAATAATAGCTAACATATATACAATGCTGGATATAGTTCTGAATGCTTTGGTTTACTGAAGTCTTAACTATATACACGCATGATTATTGTCTTACTTCAAAGTCCAAAAAGTAAAGTGGCTAGCCCCAATCATGAGTCTGGTAAACAGTGAAGAAGCTGAGCCCACACCCTTAAATGCCACACCATTGCTGTCTCTAATGTCTGTAAGGAACGAGCCCTTCTCAGCTGTGCAAACATTTCAAGTCTTTGCTCACATGGCTCCCTCTACCCAGAAGACTTTTCTTCTCTTGTCTGGTCTTCCAACTTGGGAAATGTCTATTCATTTTTGGGGCTTATTTTAAGGGGTATCTTTTTCATGAACCCTGAATTACAGTTTTTCATTGCTGTGACCAAATGCCAGCTAAAAAGCAATGTCAGAGAGGAGAGGTTTATTTGGGTTCATGCTTTGTAAGGCTATTGTTCATCATGGCAGGAGGGCACAGTGATTGCTGGCTCCATGGCAGCAAGAATATGTGGTAGCTGTTTAATCATGCCTCAGTGGACCTGGAAGCAGAGAGGGAGGAAGAGGGAGAGAGTGAGAGGAGGGAGGGAGGGAGGGAGGGAGGGAGGGAGGGAGGGAGGGGGGGAGGGAGGGAGGGAGGGAGGGAGGGAGGGAGGGAGGGAGAGACTGGGACTATGGGTAGGGCTGGGCTATAACCTTCAAGGCCTACTGTCTTGTGCCCATTTCTTCTACTAGGCCCCAGCTTCCAAAAGTTCCATGACTTCTCCAAAGAGCACCACCAGTTGGAGACTACATGTTTAAACACACGAGCCTGTGGGGGACATTAACCTTCAAATCCCAACAGAACTTTCTGGCATCCTCAAGTAGAAATGCTGGCCTCCTTCCCTTGAGTATCTGTTTTGCTTCTTCCCCCCACTCAAGGGTAGAGTCCATTTCTTCATAAAATTTGACTCTCTAATTCCTGAGTGTGCCCTCTGGTCTCATGTCATCTTGACACACAAACTAGAGTTATCTGAAGGGAGGGGACATCAATTGAGAAAATGCCTCCATGAGATCCAACTGTAGGGAGTTCTCTTAATTAGTGATTGATGGGTAAGGGCCCACCTCATTTTAGGTGTTTCCATCCCTGGATCCTATAATAAAACAGGTTGATCAAGCCGTGATGAACAAGTCAGTAAATGGGACTCCTCCAAGGCCTCTGCATCAGCCCCTGCCTCTAGGATCCTGCCCTCTTTGAGTTCCTGTCCTGCCTTCCTTCAAGGATGAACAGTGCTGTGGAAGCCCAATAAGCCCTGTCCTCTCCAGCTTGCTTTTTGGTCATGGTGTTTTGTCACAGCTAACTAAGACACTGAGTATAATTCCAGCAGAATGTCTTCGGTCTCTACAAGGACATAATAACCATAAAAGCTACAGTAGCATTGGATATTAGAGGCTAAGCATTCTTTCTTAGAAATTAGGCTTAGACTCTGTTTATGTTTGTAACTGAGGCCTCAAACTCAGCTGACGAAAGATGGGTTTCTTTCTCAAGGCGTTTCCATTTAAGTGATATTGCTGTGTCCAAAGGGTCTTCAAAGGAGAGAAGTGAAAACTCCAAGGAAGAGGTGAAGTTTGGGAGCTTCTATATCATTTTAACCAAGGGCACTAAATTGTGGCTCAGTCATGCTATAAAGCTGGTGGAGGAGGGACTCCTGAAAGCGGAAGGATGGCCCGGGAATGAGTAACAGGGAAGAGCTGGGTGCAGACTCACTTCCATGCCTTCTCTAGCCATCCAGTCTCTTGCAGGAGAGGGAGGGAGGAGCCCTCACAAAGCAGGCTTTTATACTTCCCTTGTAGGCCCAAATGGGAAGGGAAGAGTATCCTTCTCACAGCTGCTGTTCCTCAGCTGCCTTCAGCTCAAAACGGTCCTCATGCTAAAGTGACCAATTTTGCAGGGCGTACGCTGACCTCCACGTCCTCACTGAACAAGAAGAACGAACGCTAGAGAAATGGTACATAGTGAAGGGCTGGGCTGCAGAGGGGTCTGCTGTCAGGGTTCAGGGCAAACTGTCTCACGCTTGTTTCTGTTGAACACTGGACAAAAGCAACTTCAAGGGAAGATGGTTATTTTACACACAGGCCATCGTTTCTGGGAATCAAGGCTGGCCCTCACCGTCACAGTGAAGAGCAGAGAGAGAGGAGTGCTTGCATGCTTGCTTTTGCTCAGTCTCTTCTCTCTCCTTACACAGTCCAGAACCCTCAACCAAGGAATACTTGGTGGGCCTTCCCACCAAAATTAACCCAATTACAAAGAACCCTTACAGGCATGCCTATGCACCAACCTGATTGAGATAGGCCTTCACTAAGGCTCTCTTCCCTGCCTGAATCCAGATTGTGGCAAGGTGAGAACCCAAACCGACATTACCTATTTATTTGTTTGTTTGTTTTTTCCTGTGTCTCTCTTTGGTGTGTGTGGTGTGTGTGTGTCTGTGTGTGTATGTGTGTACATGATTGGAAACTTGAAGTTGAGCTAGAAATCTTCCTCAAGTGATCTTCCACCTTTTCTTTGAGACAGGGTCTCTCAGTCAAACCCAGAGCTCACTGCTATAGCTAGTCTCTCCAGCCACCTTCTCTGCCTTTCCGGGCTGGAACGTGAGGCCCATTCACATTTATGTGGGTTGGGAATCTGCGCTTTGGTCTCCAAGTTTGAGATGTAAGCATTTCAGCTGCTGAGCCATAGCCCCAGCCTCTAGTGCTAATTATTCTTCTTTGACAATATGCCTTTTATTCTATTTGACATATTACACTTATGTATTTTATGGAGCACATGGTGACATTTAAATACATGTATCCAATGTGCGGTGATCAGATTGGGGCAATTGCCATCTTTCCTCTCAGTCATTTCTTTGTGCAGAGGGAGCCGTGACTAAGAAGGAAGGGATAAATCGGAAACAAAAGCAGAGGCCCAGGATTCTTGGTGAGACAAAGAGCCGCACGATCAGCTTGAGAAGAGAACAAAGTAAAGAGAAATCCATGTGAAGATACACCTCATCACTTGGACCGAAGGCTCGCTGGTCACACGTTGGCTTAGTCTAACTGTGGGCCATCACAAAGACATAAGCGTGGGGATGGACAACATGCGGGTACTCTAAACCCTCGGGGTCCTCTTTGTGTTATAAAGTCTGATGGCAAATGTACAAGGCCTGCCTCACGCTTTGAGAAACTGCTTCCTTCCTGCATTCATTCATCCATTTATTTGGAAAATAGTAATGATATTTATTACCAGCTCTTAGGTGCAGTGGGATGCACTGAGGTAAAAATATCTGTGCTTAGTGCATCTGTGTGTGACACAGGAATATTAGCATTAATATATATCAATATGGCATTAATGATTATGGTTTTGGTATGATGAATTAGTTTGCAATAATCTGTCTGTAATTTATTTATATTCTGTGTATACGTGTGTGTCTATATGTGCACGTGCACTTTGCCTGCATAATGTATGAGTACCATGTGTGTGCCTGGTACCTAGAGGTAAGAAGAGGGCGTCACATTCCCTGGAACTGAAGTTAGGATGGTTAAAAGTGATTGCTGGGAACCTAACTCAGGTCCTCTTCAAGAGCAGCCAGTGCTCTTAACTGCTGAGTCGTCTCTCCAGCCCCTTTAACAATGCTTATTTTCAGATTCTAAGAACAGGGGGGAAAAGAAGCTGAACCCAGGAGATGTGAGATATCCAGAAACAGAAAGAACAAATTAGGAGAGAAAAAACTGAAACTGTGGAGTGGCAGGAATCAAGAGGGAAAAGTGAAAAGATCGCAAAGTCAGAAATAACCTTTTCTTCGGGTAACTTTGCCAGTAAAGATGTATGCAAAATGTGTCTAACTGCAAAATGTCATAACCGCCAACAGTATGGCCTTCCAGCCATGCAAGGAGGGGATACCAGCCCCTCGGCTAATAACCTTCTCCAGGCCTTTGCGCTTTTCGCTCATTGTTCTAACTTCAGGGCATCTATTTGAACCTTCTACAAGATCAACTGGTTAAAACTTCAGTTACTGTGGAGAGTTTAGAATGTTGCAAGTCCAGAGTTGAATTATCTTGGGCCATCTTT